GTTGTCTTGATGTGTGGTATATACTCAGTAAATACTCTAAGAAGGGTTGCCACTGACTTTCAGTCCAAGATAAAGTAGTTCTGTAAACAATCGTTGGAATTTCCCTAATAAGATCCTGTAAAGGAACAGGACCTTTGCCACATTCATCTATTCCATAATTCCCAGTTTTTCGTGGTGGAAACTATAGTGTTTCTCAACTTTAGATCTGACATAGGAAAGTAAGTATAGTTAGATTTTTCCCAACTATCAAGAGTGCCCAGCTATACTGGGTATTGGGAGACCAGATGGGCTCAATAAGATGTTAACAATCAGAAATGGAAAGTTCTGCAAAGCCAACTATTCAGTTTAGATATTTATTACCTGTCAAAATAATTGAATAGAATAATTTCAACCATTAACTATGTCAAACCCCCAATTCACACATATTTTACATTGTTTAATCTCAGCAGGACACTACCCCATTTCTGAGGCACTTGTCCAGATTATTGCATGTTAAAATTATATTTCACCAAACAAAAATTTGTTCTCTTGAAGCATTTAAAAAGATGTTTAAATAGCAAAGCTGTGAGTCTTTATGATAAACCACTTATAAACCGTTTTGCATACATTTTGGAATCCATACTAAGTATTTAAGTCTGAGAGGATAGTATTGCTCTACACGTTATAAAGAGCAAAAGTTGAACAGAACATTTTCTGTTACTAGTGTAACGCCAATTGATCATAACATTTGCCTTCTGTTTATAAGGAAATAAATGGAGAGGTGACAGTGCCTTTCTGTTAAGTGGTGAAACACAGATTCCTTCTTTACCATACAGTTAAGTGACAAGTTGCTGAATTTGTGATGACTCTGACATGAGAATATGTGCCAACCCGCCTGTAGATGGGGAGTAAGACCAGGAGGTCTGTCATTTCAAGCAGCATCAACTTTGTCAGAATTGCTGCCTTTGGAAGAATGAATAGAAGCTCCTTGAGGGCTTGCGCCAAGTTCCTCTTGCTGTGCTTTGAAACGGGACCTGTGAAGAGGCACTCTGTCTCTGTTCCAGTGGCGCTCCCCGCATAATGCCTGCGTGAGGCATTTTAGTGACAAACATTAGGCCTTCCTCCCTCACTGGGTGTTTTGGGTCAGTTTTAACCCAATTGTTTTAGTACAGAGTGAAAGCTTAGAGTGTAAAATTTTCTAAAAATACACCTGAGATAACCTTCAGTCCTCTATGTCATTAGGACTTAGTATATTGTTTCTCAATTGTCGAGTATTTTTGAGTGGTAAAACTGCTACTAATAAAGGCTTATGGAAATTGTGACATAGGCTTTCCTGAAGTCAGTAAATTACGACTTTGACCTCTACCTACATACTACTATAAACTTAATATGTATCTTTACATAATATCCATAGTACATAATCTTTGAATTTGCCACACATTACTTTTGGGCCCTCATGTTGGTTTTTCTCCTACTTAGAATGGCAAACAAGAGGAGGATTGACTATTCTGGAAGGAATGTCATCTTGCTGCACATTCAGGAAATAGCCGAAAGTAGATGCATCTTTCATCTTGTTTTACTTGTTTTGTATTGCCTTTTAGGTACTCAAGGAGTTGCACCTGGTCCTGTAATTGGGCTCCAGGCACCGTCCACTGGTCTTCTCGGCGCCCGCCCTGGTCTTATCCCACTGCAGCGCCCTCCAGGCATGCCTCCACCTCACCTGCAGCGATTTCCTCTGATGCCGCCTCGTCCCATGCCACCACATATGATGCACAGAGGGCCCCCCCCAGGACCGGGGGGCTTTGGAATGCCTCCCCCTCATGGAATGAAAGGTCCCTTTCCACCACACGGCCCCTTTGTTAGGCCCGGTGGAATGCCAGGGCTGGGAGGCCCGGGGCCAGGCCCAGGGGGCCCAGAAGACAGAGACGGAAGGCAGCAGCAACCACAGCAGCAGCAGCAGCCGCCACCGCCACAGCCGCAACCACAGCAGCCACCGCCGGCTCAGCAGCCACCACCAACTCAACAGCCGCCACAGCCGTTTAGAAATGATAACAGGCAGCAGTTCAATTCAGGTAGAGACCAAGAAAGGTTTGGAAGAAGATCCTTCGGAAATAGGGTGGAAAATGACCGGGAACGGTATGGGAACCGTAACGATGATAGAGATAATAGTAACCGTGAAAGGAGAGAGTGGGGAAGAAGGAGCCCTGACCGGGACAGGCACAGAGACTTGGAAGACAGAAATAGACGCTCTAGTGGGCATCGAGACAGAGAGAGAGATTCTAGAGATAGAGAGTCTCGTAGAGAGAAGGAAGAAAACCGAGGGAAGGAGAAGCCCGAGGTGACAGACAGGGCAGGTGGTAACAAAACCGTTGAAGCGCCCATTAGCCAAGTGGGAAATGTAGACACTGTTTCAGAACTTGATAAGGGCGAGTCTGAGCCTGCAGTTGTAAAGCCTTCTGAAGAGTTACCTGCTGAGGCTACCTCATCCGTTGAACCCGAAAAGGATTCTGGCTCAGCAGCAGAGGCTCCTCGTTAGAGACTGGATTTGTCCACATTGACAGTGACACTCTGGAGTGTAGCGCGTGAGGTGTACAGATGCTGTATTATATTTGCTCCTGCTATATCCCAGCCCCACGGTAGTTGGTGGGGAATTGTAAGCAATTTGATTGCTTCCCTTCTATTTAAAAATAGCCACAAAATAACAAAAAATACCGAAATATGAATAAATATTACCCTTTTTGCTGTAACTTTTTAAAAGTTTTGACTTTAAAAAGTTTACAAATCGTAATTAGAAGTGCTCTCTATTTTTTTTTTTTTTTAATTTAAGACAAGGTAACGGTGAAAGCTCCTCAAAAACAATAGGGATGTTTTTAATAAACTCTATTTTCGTAACAAACTTTAATGTGTGCTATTCTTCCTACACTGCATTAAGGTGGAAAAGGATTGGTCACCATCAAAGTTTGAACTGTTAATACTGGAGTCTAAATTAGACTTGTTTATTTGATGGAAAGAGACATCTTTATGTAGTTATTCTCAAACACTTTCATTTGTAATACTTTGATTTTTAGCATTTCAATCATATGGTAAAGGTTAGTCATTTACTGTAATTGAAAAACTTGTTTTGCAGTTGAATCAAGTTTTTTTTTTCCCCCTGCCTTTGGCTTTGTGGTAAATGTATCCTAATTTTGTAAAGAGGAATTTTTGCTGGGGGGAAATGGGATCCCCCACCTTTCCCACTGTGCTATAAATCATCTGATTGCCTGGGTGTTACTGAGAAAAGATTGTTCTGTCAAATTCAGTTTTCAAAAGGGTAAAAGAAACTGAGGTTAACATTTGCAATCTGAAAGCTCTTTTTGTCTTGTATGTTTTAAGGACTTAATGCAACCTGTTGCTTCCTGTCAGCCTTGCCTGTTGCCCATCTTGACTCTTCTAAGCTCCCCGCTGGGCAAAGGTAGACAACTATTTGCCACGTATAAACTACCTAATCTTTTGCTTAAAATTGTTGGAGTGATTAGGAAAATTAGGTGTAGGTTACTACATGGAGACATCTGAAGCCAAACTTGTATCTAAAATAGGAAAGCACTTACACGAAGCTGTGTGCCCAGTGCCAAGGAAGAGAACTGCTGTTACTAATGCCGAGTATTCATACCCTTCTGGAACGTTTTTTGTTAACTGCCCTAGCTTCGTTGTGCTGAGTATTTGGCCTTTTCTTTACCTCATCCCCAGGTGAAGCTGCTTTACCGCTTTGGTTTGAAATAGCATGCTGCTGCAAGATCTTTGCCAGGGGAGAGTATGTTTTAGGAAATGTTTGTGTTCCTGCCTTCAGGAGATAAAATCCTGTTTCATGTCTGCAGACGTGAATGATAAAACATAAAAGTCCTAATTGAAGCTGCTTCTGTTAAAATATAAGATTTAGTGTTCAGAGTGCAGCCCCCATTTCTAATTAAAAGTATTTTGCCCAGCACAAAACCCCCAAAGTACTAAGAGGCAGTGATTACACTTGCAGCTTTTAAGGTCATGGGAGTTCCTATGAATCACCTGCATATGTGACCAACTGTACATCAGTGGAATCTGTTAAATACTGTTTAAATTCTCCACCTGACAGTGGTTTTAACCACTTGTGAGCATATTGTTCTTTATCGCCAATTTTAAAAACACTGCAAATTGTCTTTTCTTTCCTAAATAATCTTCTATATTTAAGTACATCATATATTTATATGATCAGAAATGTAGTCTATTTCAGATTTCTAGCAGAAAAAATCCTACAATTTTCAATAAATTGTAATCCACACAGCCAACCCTGAGTTAGCTTAATATTTCATGTGAGAGCATTCTGTTACCGAAGTACGTATTTACATTAAGAAAACTAGAACTGAATTCAGTGATTGGGAGCATAAATTCTTATCAACAACCCACAAACATTTCCTCAGTTCCATTCACATGTTGTATTCTTTGAATGGGCTAGTCTGAAAGGTTGTGCCAGCTTCTAATAGATTACAAACGAAAGGTGATAGGGCCACCAAAGTGGAGTATGTGCCATTTCCACAGGTAGGTATCTTAACCATCCTCAACCTAACCTGCTATTCACAACTTATAAGTTAACCAGTGGGCTCTCAAATATGACATCTACTTTTAAAAGTAGGAAACGTAGGTACTTCCTGAACCAAAATGCTGTGAAGTAGCTAAGCAGGCAAGATCCTGTTTGTCTTAGCTATAAGATTAGCTGCTAAAATTTTAAAACATTTTGATTCTCATTTAAGACACTTTCAAATGAGAGCTTCTTGATAGCTAGTACCTATCAAAGTAACTCCATATCTGTTCCATTCAAGCTCTATGACTATAGGTAGTTTATTATTTTAATAGGTTCAAGGTACAGTCCCATACAGGGACATGTTTATCGCAGGCCTTAACGAGAACTGAAGAAACTCAAATTGAGATTAATACGGACAGTAGGTGATTTAAGTCTGGGAAAGTACAGAGATCACTGAAACACATAGCAATTAAAAGTCACACAAATCACCTTTAAGTTTACAATGTTTAATGTTTATCAAGTTAAATTTCTACAGCTAGCGAGAGAACGTGAGTTACAGGACACAGACCACATCCCAGGGAATGTTTACTGTGTGATGCCAATGACACCACAAGCCAACCGACTTCCAGCATTTCCCGTCTTTGTACTTTCTTCGTTGCCACCTTTGCCCAAGTCATCTTGCTTTTCATGGACCTTTAAGAAATGGTAAGAACATACAACTTAGGGGCATCCAGTATGACCCCCTCTTCCCAACAACACCCAAATGACTTAGCCATTTAAGATGACATGTTAGAGTAAGTCTACCAGGAAATGTACTAATATTCAGTAGAAAAATGAGAAACCACTTGATTTTCTTGATGCAAAACCATAAATCACCTTTAAACACCAGGTATTTCACTGGCACCTCTCAGTGAAATATTATAAACTGGCAGGCCAGCAGCTGCTGGTCTTCATCTGTGGGAATGTCAGTGACCTCGTTACAAAAGACTCATATAGTTAAGTTGCTTTGGGGAAGTGATACAAGCTATAGATAATAGGTATCTAGAAATACCTAAATTCTTTAAGTTTCAGTTTTGCTCTGCAAACACTGATAAAGTTTTTCTGCTCCATGACTGGCTGAAGAAAAGTAAGACGAAGGGTCATCTGAAAGCGACAGCTGACTATTAACTGTCCTCTGAGGTAGGCGAAAGCCCACGTTACTAGCATTCTGCGCCATCAGGTACAGCTCCAAGCTGAAGCAAACATAAGATTAACCTGCAGATGTGAATGAATTAATAAGGTCTGTGCCAGACTTCAGACTTCAAAATATCCTGTTGAATGACATGGGGGATACCTGTTCTAAAACGAGATAAAGACTACACGTTTTTTCTACCATGCGGATCTAAAATGATCCAATGTAGTATGATTTGTTACTGTGCAGCTTAGAACAGTGTTCCTAAGGGACCCACATCATTCATTCATCTTCACTGTCATCATCCAATAAAATAATCGCTTCTGCGCGGAACGGAAAGTACAACATAAGTGGATCCTGAGAAACCTGGACAATCATGAAACAGCAAGGACTGAGACAAGAAATTTATGCAAGTTTTTCCAGAAAAACTTACCACCATCGTGCGGCCAATGATGGAATGCTCCCCCGAGAGCGAGATCATGGAGTCCTGGATAAACACCTTGGCCGTGCCGTCCTTGCCGGCTGTCACGTTGCCCAGGTCTCCAACATGCCTTACACAAAAAAGCATCAGAGGAATTAGGACTGAGCTCCACCTCACGTAACCTCAAGAGACTTCAGGAGCTAAGTGACAAACTGTCAGACAGGGTGGGCTATGAGACGAATACAGCACTCACCGACAGGACCCACTTTTCCAGGTGGACAAATCCTGAAAACTTAACTAGACATTCTAGACCCAGCTCTTCACAGGCTTCCAGCCATCAGCAGGGAGCAGGGGAGCTGTGGCAAGGGCAGACCACCCACTCCGGGGGCGAACAGCACCAAAGGGTAAAAGGCTCAGTGACCGGTTATCCTGTTCACTTCCGGCCTGGCTAAGAAAGCTAGGCCTTAGGCCTCTGTTAAGACGAATGAATCTTGTGCTTAATATTTTTCTGAAAGACTGAACACATATACAAATGGAGTCCCACAGAACTGTCGCTATCAAATGATCTACAAATCTTCCTATGTTTCCCAATGGTTTATTTTGTGAGCACTCTTATTCCTGACATGTCCTGTACAGGTTCCCTTCGGCACTTGTATTAATCCTATAGTCAATAAAGGTTACAAAAGCAAACAGCTTAATTCAGTGTCCCCATTTGTCAATTCCTTAGCCATGAGCACTTGGGGGCAGGGGAGGGGATTGAGGGGCAACACTTCAAGCACAGAGGTGGGGCAGGACACCCGATTCTCCCACCGTGCAATTCTTAGGTGTGCAGTGCAGTGACCCCCAGAGCCACTGCCATCACTTCAGGGGGAGCTGAGCAGGCTGTCACTCACCTCTCTGGATCCTTTGGACCACCATGCTTTTTGGAATGAGGATTAAAGTGAGGACCTGCACTGGTACAGCCTATTAATCAAAAAGAAGTAGCTAAATTATGAATCAAAATTTCAAATTAAATTCTAAAAGGAAACTGGCCTTTGGTGAAACGTCAAATGGAGAAACTGCCAACCGACATCATGCTGCCCGGTAATACAAAGCAAGCAGGCGGCAGCACCTCAGTACAAATGAAACGGGCAAGGACTAGGGACAAGTTCTAACCATGCATGACACTGGCAAAGTCAACACTTCTCCAGGCTTGGGTTTCTTCAAGGGCCCTGTAAGACCAGAGGGCGGGGACTTGCCCTGCCGCACGTTCCCTGCTAATTAGTGTCATGTGACGATTCCTGTTCACAGAAGACAGTAACCAAACTACAGAGAACACCTCGCTAGAAACACTAGCAGGCAACCTCCTGTCTGGGCCTTGACTGGGTGCACACAGGGTAGGAAACGGCCCCCTCTGTTCCAGCCCCGGCCCTCACTGCCCCAGCTGGGTGGTCAGTGCTCCGTGCTCCAGGAAGCACTCTTCCCACAGGACCTGGCCACAACAAAGCCGGTTCTTTCAGAGCTGTCTTTTGTTCAGCCACTGATGGAAAGTTTCCACTGTTTACAGCTGTTACCCAGCCACACACACCCCTGCCAGGGAGAAGATGGGAAGCAGCCCCATAAGTCAAAGCCACAGAGCAATGGTCCTCCCATAAGAGGAGCAACCCTGGGCAACCTGAGGAATTTAGGTAATTATTGCAATAGATCAACCCGGCCATGGGTACTTACAACAGGAACCCGGCTATGGAACACTGAAACAAGTCCCAGTCAACTGTCATGAAAAACCCAAACACTGTCATCACGCAATGCGGCCACAGGTCACCCACTGCAGTTTAACCCCATATTCTTCAACTTGCTTCTAATCCCGCATAGTGACAATGGAGTTCAACCAAAGCACAGTGTTTAAGTCTCCCTCAGTCTTGTCTTTCTTCTGTCCCACAAAGAACCTTGAGGTGGAAGTGCACAGTTGTTCCTTCAGGATGATGCAGAGAAATGTAGCCCCTGTGGAAACTCGCACCTCTGTACCCCAGCTCACAGCCCCCTGGGACCACTACAGAGGGGAAGAAAGTAGCTTAATTCTTTGTTCCCTACAGTTTTATTTGAAAAACACCCATGGGGCCCTCCCTCGTGGAGCAACCAGTTAAAGCTGGCCACAGCCTCCTCAGTGTGAGTTCGATCCCCAAGCAGAGAGCTGACCCACATGGGGCAGCAAACCTCCTGTCTCCCTGCTTGTCCCCTCAGTACTTCATCGATATGCCCCTTCTGCTCCCCATTCTGCCTCTGGTGAATCCTCTCACCACCCCTGCACCTCTGGCCTGTACCCCAGTATTGTATGCATACATAAATAATCTTAAAAAAAAAAAAATACCTGACACTAGGTGATCACGCCATCACACATGAAAAACCCCAATCCTTCCCATTCCTTTCACTCTGCAGTGAAAAGCCAGGTTTGTGGTTCACGGCAGTTCTATTAACTTGACTTTTTGTTTAATGTGGGGGTAACTGTCTTCACACCTGTGTACCTTACTGGGTTCGTAGGCAGGGTCCCTGATAGAGCAATACCCACCTTGCGTGTTATCTCCAAACTGATGCACGTGGAATCCATGTTCGCCTTCAGTCAGTCCCGAAATGGTTCCCGAGACCTCCACCAGGCCATTCGCCTTTATTCAAAGAAAAGTGCAATAAGTGAGAGCACAAGAGCTTCTGAACAGAGCAAAGAGGAGAATCTTTACCATTCATTGGAAAGAACACGGATTTGGTAAACAAAACTTCTGTGTCCAAATCTCAGGCACACCACTTCATACCAGTGAACGATCAGCAGGCTGTCTGCACCCCAACACGAGGGCGGGGCGATGTGCTCCCACATGCAAGCCTAGGAGCCCTGCACCCCAGCCTCAGTTAAACAGAACCGCACAGGAAAAGCACCGAGCCAGGGCTAGCAGAGCAGGGCGTACGGACAGGTGTGCTCCCGCCCAGCGACGGCTCCTGTGATGAATGTGCAGTGAGCACCGGCAAGTCTGTACACACTTCTGGGCAGAATCTGTGTGCTCCCACTGCACAGGCACAGTGTATGTGAACAGAGCAGTTTTTAACCCAGATGCTAGCACATCACACTTCACACCTCACTTTCTTCCTATAAACTCTCTTCACATAGCAAACATGCAGGTTTGCCATAAAGAAAAATGCACCCTGAAGTGTCCATGCTAATTCCCTACCCTCCAGTGGAAGGGTGTTTTATCAGTTACCAGCTGATATTTTTGATTCATAGTCAGAAAATATCCTATCCCACTGCCCTGGGGGCTAATTCTAGTCTAACCAGAGGTTCTGTTTCTGGAGTTTTTAAAAGTAATCTAGTAAAGGCCCTCCCTGGTGGCGCAGCGGGTTAAAGCACAGCACTGAGAATCTGAAGCCACTTCCGCATGAGTTCGATTCCCGCCTGCCGCCTGCCCCGGAGGAGACCACATGGCGAGCCAGACCTCTCCTGACCCGCCCGCTGCTTCCCTCAGCAGTGTACTTTGTCATTCTGCCTGTCCTGCTCCCCACTCTGTCTCTGGTGAAGCCTCTCACCGCCCCTAAGCCTCTGGCCTGTACCCCAGTTCTGTATGCACAAATAAATAAATAAATCTTTAAAAAAAAAAAAAGTAATCTAGTAAAGACAATAAAAAATCTTTTAAAAAAAAGGGTCCTCCCTGGTGGTGCAGCGGGATAACACACAGCACTGCAAGCTAGCAGCAGCTGCTTCAGTGCTGGTTCGATCCCCGCCCCAGAAGTGACCCACATGGCGCGGCAGACCTCTCCTCTCTCGTCCACTGCTCCCCTCAGCAGTGTACTTCGTTGATCTGCCTGTCCTGCTCCCCACTCTGTCCCTGGTGAATCCTCTCACCGGCCCTGCACCTCTGGCTTTACCCTAGTTTTGTATGCACAAATAAATAAATCTTTTTTAAAAAAGGTGAAGTCAATCACAGACATTCCAGCAACAGTGAGAGGTCATGATACTGCGTGGCTCCCTTCAGAAACCATCACTGCTACTAGATCTCAGGAGCTAAAACAGACACAGCAACCACACTACACAGTGATGCAGAAATGGTGCCTCTGATTTCATCAATAGCCTGGTTTGTTTTTAAGTGTAAGCAGTTACAAGAGGTGTTAGCTTGGAGATGTGACAGTCCCTGGATAGGTACCACTGCTCCAGTGTTGCCCTTTCTGTTGAAAAAATATATATATTTTTTTTGAAAAACATATCATGATTCTTCCAAATATAACCTTGAAGTGTTGTCCCCCAAACACACAGTGTTGTCAAGAGCAAAAGGAAAAAATGCACGGAGCAGACAAGCAGCCCAGCCACGCCTGTGCTGTCATCTCACAGGCTCGGGACAGGCCAGGGGCACGCACCGTCCAGTGCAGCACCGTCAAAGCTAATTTAGGCGAGGGCCAGATCTCCAAATACTGTGAGAGAAGCTTAGAGTTTGGAGAAATGGCCCACTTTTTAAAAACTGGAAACTAATCTACAATTTTAAGTGCCCAAAAGGCCCAATACAGTTTATTGTCAGCTAATGTCTGATCCCTGCAGCGCTTGAAAGCTTCACTACCAAAGGCCTTCATCAGGTCCAAAGAGCACCAACAAAACGAAGTTTGGCAATAAAATGAGGGCACACAGGGCAGTCGGGTTCAGAGCCTGGTTTCTGAAAACCACTGAGCTTCTCTGCAGCCAGAGAAAAGAGCTCCCTGAAGCACAACATAAAGAGCCACCGGTGGGCAATCTCACAAAGACTGGACAGTTTTGTTACAAACACCATCCTTGCAAAACTGCATCCAGCAGTACTATGAGCAAGTATGTACTTTTACTAGGATGTCTTTGACCATCTCGCTAATATGGCCTATGCTTGGAGTAATTCCAACTCACTTTATGCTCTCCGAAGAGAGTTAAATGACCACTTCATGCAAACAAACCCCAGTCCACTACCCTCCAGAAACTGTTCTCAATTCTCACGGATTATTAGATACACAGTGGATACCAGAATACAGGCACGCTCAGGCTACACCCTGACAGACTCTGATATAAACTGGTCTGGAGTCGGGGGCCTGTATTTTCTGTTAAGGTCCCCAAAAGAGTCTAGCGCGCAGCAGTGTGGCCGCGGCTAGGTAAGACTCGGCTTGGGCAAATCCCTGAACAGTCGGCGAAGCCAGGAACCTGGGCTTAGGGATAAAAAATTGACTTTTCGCAAAAGGAAACGAACCCAAAATGGAAAAAACTGCTGTTCTGGAAACCCTCCTAATAAGAGGGTGTGTTAGCTCTCTGGCTTTCGGAGCCGTGCCCGAGGCCATCATCTTTTTTACAACCTGACCGTGACCGCGAGCAGGAGGCGGCTAACGTTTCTGTAAAGGGCCACGGGCGGTCTGTGTCGCCTGATATTTCACCACGATCCTTTACACCTAAACGTGGACATACAAGGTGCAGAGCTAGACAAACGCGGGGCCCGGGCAGCATGCGGCCTGCTGGTCCGGGGCTGCAAAGCCCAAAGGGCTGCAGGCTGCCAGGGCACCCAGGCGCCCCTCTGCCTGACGGCGGACTGCGCAACGACGCCGGCCGGCTCCAGCGCACCCACAAATGACCGCGCAGGGAGGCGCCGGCCTCTTCGAAACGCCCAGTCAGCGCCGAGGCCCCAGGGCCGCCGCCGGGCTCGC